TTAAGGAGAAAATAACTAGAGTGAAGCGAAGAAAAAACGAACAAGATTTAGGAATAATTTGGATGGTCATTTAGCTTAAGAGATACAGAAGTTCAATGGGTGAATTGACTAGGAACCCGTGAGTAGAAGATGACAAGATAAAAGAATATAAGAGATGGAGTTTTCTTTTATTCGTAGGCTAATCCAAATCTAATTTTTTAATATCACGTGATATGTAAAGTGACGTTCAATAAACAAATCAAAATATGTTATATAGTCGATAAATTTAACTCGTAGCACGTAAGTTACCGGTGTTAGTTTATATTGATGAGAGAGACTGCATTGAAAATTTTTTAAAAATACAATGACTCAATTTGAATAAAAATAATTAATATAATGACTAAATTTTTATTTTAACCATTACCAAACTACTCATAACATAAAAAGTGTTGCATTTAAATAACTTTTTAATTAAAATTTTTAACTATTTTACTAAAATTTGAACCTTTGAAATTTCAATTTGATCAAATACTTATAATTTATTATAAAATTTTGAAAAATAATTTAATTATGTATCTAAATACCTTTTATGTATTTAAAATTTGTTATAGATTAAAAGTTCAATTAATAATTTAAAACACCAAAAAATCAAGTCAACTAAAACGTTCAAAATAACTTACATTCATTAAATTATCATATTATTCTAATACATTTTTTATGATAATTATATTTTTTTAAAAAGATGATAGTAAATAAAGTGTATTATAATTTATGACGTAAAATATAATTTATTATGCTTTGAATCTATTATTTCTTTGGGGATAAAGATTGATAAATAATTACAAAAAAAAAAGAGTTAATTAATTATAACGTAAAAAGGATTTAATTACAAGTAAGAATAAATTAATTCGCCATAATAATTTGTTTTTTTTTTTTAAAAAAAAATTATAATTTAACTATTATGAATGAGTTATTATTTTCTTCTGAAAAATACAGGGGCAGCAGATGAAGAACATCAACCAAACTAGCAACAATTAATAATCCCTCATCATCAAAGCACTCCGAGATCTAACGGCTGAATGCAGAAAACGCGTCTCCTTCTCTACTTGCGTCTTATTCACTTCTCTCTCCATCTTCTTCCCGTATAAATATAACCCCCCCACCTTCGAAGTCTCTCACTGTGCTCATCAATTCACCATCACCCACCACCCTCTCTCTGTGTAAAAAATGGCGATTCTCTGCAAAAGAACAGTGCTTTTCTTCTTCTTCTTCTTCTTATTCTTCTTAACCACTTCCTTCTTTGTTTCAGCCGAGGAAAGCTTGAAATCAAACAAGACTTTCTCTCTGTCTTTTCCTCTCACTGCAGTCTCTCTTTCCTCCCACCCTTCCGTTTTTTCCTCTTCTCTCATCTTCCGACCTAAACAGAACCCGAGAGTAGCCAAAACGGGGTCGTATAACTACAGGTTAGCTTTCAAGTATTCGATGGCTCTGATCGTTTCTCTGCCTATCGGGACTCCGCCGCAGACCCAGCAGATGGTGCTCGACACAGGAAGCCAGCTCTCTTGGATTCAGTGTCACAAAAAGGCGCCGAAGCAGCCACCTCCAACGACGTCGTTTGATCCTTCTCTTTCATCCTCTTTCTCCGTTTTGCCATGTACTCACCCGCTCTGCAAGCCCCGGATTCCAGATTTTACCCTCCCGACGTCCTGCGACCAGAATCGTCTTTGCCACTACTCATACTTCTATGCCGACGGGACGTTGGCTGAGGGCAATCTCGTCAGAGAAAAAATTACCTTTTCTCCTTCCCAAAGTACCCCTCCGTTGATCCTCGGTTGCGCAACGGAGTCTAGCGACGACAGGGGTATTTTGGGAATGAATCTCGGCCGGCTTTCATTCGCTTCTCAGGCCAAAATTTCGAAATTCTCGTATTGCGTACCGACCCGGAAGAATCAAGTCGGGTACACTCCGAAAGGATCGTTTTATCTCGGGGAAAACCCGAATTCACGCGGGTTTACTTACGTAAGCATCTTGAATTTCCCTCAAAGTCAACAGATGCCCAACTTGGACCCCTTAGCTTACACTGTTCCAATGCAAGGAATGAGAATTGGCGGCAAACGGCTAAACATTTCAGCGTCCGCTTTCCGACCCGACGCCGGCGGTTCGGGTCAAACCATGGTTGACTCAGGATCGGAATTCACGTACCTGGTGGACGAGGCGTATGATAAGGTGCGGGCAGAGGTTGTGCGATTGGTGGGGCGACAGCTCAAGAAGGGTTACGTGTACGGTGGAGTATCCGACATCTGTTTTGACGGAAACGCGATGGAGATCGGACGGCTGATAGGCGACATGGTGTTGGAATTTGAGAAGGGAGTGGAGATTCTGGTAGAGAAAGAACGAGTTCTCTCCGACGTGGGCGGTGGGGTCCACTGCTTGGGAATCGGACGGTCGAGCATGCTTGGTGCCGCAAGCAACATAATCGGGAACGTTCATCAGCAAAATCTCTGGGTTGAGTTTGATCTGGCCAATAGGAGAATAGGGTTCGGTAAGGCTGATTGTAGCATATCAGCTTAAGCCTGTCACTGACTGGCGGGGACTCGGGAAGATATTTTTCGGTAGTTCCTTCCGTGTAAAACGTGACGACGCACATGTAATGCGAGTGATGATGATCATGTCGTACTTGATCTGATCCGACGGTGTTGATTAAACCATTAGACGTATTGGAACCACTGATGTCTGTGGGGCCTGTACGTCGATGTGTGGAACTTGAGGTAATTTGCACCTTATATTATCGTATTGTATAAGTCGAGAGAGACTAATGTATATATGTGAGGATGTGAAGATCATGTTATTCATTTATTTTTAAGCGGGAATTAATCTTCTTTTTTTATAATTAAATTAAAAGGGTAATTATTTTCAAGAGATATATTTTTCTTTTTTTTTAAAAAAAGGAAGAATAAAAAGATTAAAAGGCTGGAATGGGCTGGAAGCAAGAATGGAGGGGGTAGCCCCAAAGGGATGAAAACGACAGAGGACAATGGGCAAAACGCAGACGTATGGTAAAAAGAAAAAGAAAGAGGGGAACAATATGGGCAGAAAATAGGTTATCTATTATCATTATCTTCTCTTTTTCTTTTTCTTTTTCTTTTTTTTTTTAAATTTGTTTTCTAATTTTTTAATATTTTAATTTATAAAATTAACCAATATATATTTAATAAATATTCTTTTCACACATAAAAATAATAAATTCGTTAAAATATAATGCAACTTAATTACTAAATATTCTAGTAACGCATTAATAAATTAAATTATTAATTTATAATATATTTATAAATTATATTAGAATTATATCTTTTATGTTCAAATATTAATTTTTTTAATTTTTTTAAAATTTAACCTTACATAAAATTTAATAAATTCATCGGTTTAATCAATTATTTGATATTATCAAAATATTATATACATATATATATATATATATGTATATTCTTAAATAGGTTTATAGCCAAGGTAGGAGTAAGTCAAAATAGGTGTAGTACAAAGATTTAGTTTAGGCGAAAATCGTGGGGCCCAGGACATATGTGGGTCCATGCCAGGTGGACGACATGTTTTTTTACACTATTTGGCCGACCTTTTTTTTTTCGGGACTCAAATTTTGGTTGTAGTAAAAAATTCCCGACAACCTCACGATTATAAATTTTAATATATAAATAATAATTTAAAATTAATAATTATATTTATCGCACGTGGTCATTATGATATATTTTTTTAATATATAATAAATTATTATACTAAACTCCGTTAGTTATATATAAATGATAAATATAAATATAACATGTTATATGGTTAATGTTTTTTTCGAAATAACTTATAAATATAATAGTAACTTATATTCATATAACGAGTGCCTACGTATATACACGTACGTACATAGACAGATTCATATAACGTGTGTGTACATACACATATATGTATGTGTATATACGTATGTCTGTAACTGTGTAAATGGGAAAGAAACAAAAAGAAAGGTTGAAAGGAATCAGATGGTGATGAAACAGCTGGCAAAAGCGAAAGTTGTATTCGGGAAAATCATTTTCAGCCAGTTTTCTCGAGAAACTAACACATTAATGCAGCAAGGAAAAAAAAAAAAAACGCACGCCCGCCCACCTTAGAATCTCACTTTCTGCAGAAAGCAACTAAATTTGAAGACCCAAATAATGCGATACATATACACATATATATATATATATTATATATAAACATATTTGAAATATAATTCTCTTTCTTTCTTTTTCTGTGGACGGGAACACTACCGTCTTCTTTGAATCATCATCGTTATACTCACACATATATAATATATATATATATATATATATGCTGATATTTGTTAAAGCAACAGCTAGCGGCTAGCGGCCAACCTGCGAGCGCAGGACTACTTGATATGTATATAATTGAAGGCGCCTAAGATAAAACGGTTGCGTTTTCCACCCACCCACCCACACACACAGACACAACATGTATATATATATATTTGCTGTATATAGAATATTGGTCCCCAATCATGCATGTTTTTTTCCACGCGTACATATATATATATATATATGTATATATATACATACATCACCATCTACAGAACATCACTGTCTTCTCTCTTCTGCTGGTTTTTTGTCGTCTCTGTTTTTAGTTTGCATTTGGTTGATGAATATCTATATCATAGTCAAAGGTCAAGAAGGAATTTTATCCCAAATTTACTAATCTATGATAAATAGGTTAAATATATTGGAGTAAAAATAATAATAAATTCAGAAGATAATTAAAAAAAAATTATTATATTAAATTAAATTAAATACTTATTGTATTATTAATTTTTTAAACGTAAATAATTTAAATTAATTAGTAATTTTAAGAAAAAAATAAAATATTAAATTTATTTGTACAAAATACCAAACGAGTAAAACCCAATATCAAGTCTTACAAATCAATTTTCTTTTTTTTTAAAAAAAAAAAAATAAAGAAAACATAATATATAATAAATCTATAATGGGTGAGAGTTGAAATTTACTTTTCTATCACAATGATGTATACATACACACATACATACATATATATATATATATATATTATATTATATTATATAGGTTGTAAGTCAAGAGGTCAACATGGGTTTGTATTTTAGTGGAGATTGGTGGTGTTATTGGGATTGGGTATGTCTGTCTAAAGGAGGAGAGAGAGAGAGTTAGAGAGAGAAAGAGCCACAATAAATTGAGGTTGTCAACTTGTGTTGTGGTTTGAAATTTGACCCACCAAAACCCACCCATTTTCACAACTCAAACATGATTTATATTTTTCCCTCTTTAAAAAAGTTTTGTTTCCTAATAATTTCATTAATTCCCAATTAATTATTTTGTATAAAAGTGTATGTATATATACATATACATAATATGAGATTACAATTTTATATATATAATTTAAGTACAGTGTTTTTATTATTCTTTTCTTAACAAGTAAGAATAACAAAGTCTATATAAAATATGTAAATTGTGACTAATTTTTATATATTAAGTAATTATAATTCATAATTTATAAATCAATACATTTAACAGCTGGAATTAACAACTTGTTTTTTTTTTTTGTATTTTTTTGATGTAGATGGAACATTTAATTTCTTGTAATTATGGAATTATATGATTTAATTTCAAAAAATGTTTTTAATATACTAAATGTAGCCTCAAAATTTTTAAGAATAAATGCACAAATATGATATTTTAGACATAAACACAAGTGGGTTCGAGTTTAGAGAAATTAAAATTTGAAAAAAAAAATAAAATAAAAAAAAATCATAAAATAATAGTATAAAAAATCAATAATTATATAGATATAAAATAATAAAAATCAAATTATACAATAATAAAATAGAAATTGAATTGCAATAAAATCAAATCAAAGTCAAGCTCATAACTTCACTACTTTTCCAACATTTTTAGATATTTAATTTAGAAAAAATTGTCCCAAGTTTATGATTTGGTTTGGTGTAAAGTTTTTTTTTTGGGGTTGGGTCTAAAATTTTTTATTTTGCAAGGAAATTTAATGCACTTCTCATCATTAAATGTGAGGGAGAAGAAGAGAAATTTCCACAAGTAAACAGAAGTTTCATAAGGGTATGTATGTATGTATATATTCATGGTGGATGCAGCTGTAGTCCTCTTAGTTGTAAATTCAACCTAGCTGGCTTCATAATTAATGACAATAAATCATTGCCTTTATTAACCTAAGTTTCACAACTCAAACCCTAAATCATTTCTTACATTTCATAACAACTTTGAGAAATTTTTTTGTTTCAAATTTATATTTAATTTGATCATACTTGTGGGTCAAACTGTTTTTCAAAGATAATAATGATAAAAGATCTCATAAATTGTGTTTGAAGTGTCATAGTCTTCTACATTCATAGGGAAGGCAGTACTTTGAGTCATTACTTACTCTATTGGGCTTTCGATATCTTTTTAGGGCTCATCGCATTACATCGAGCTTCTAAGAACTTTAAGTATTTCTCTATCGGGCTTACTATATCTTTTTAGGGCTCCTCGCATTACATCGAGCTTCGAAGAACTTGAAGTATTTCTCAATTTGTTTAAAAATTCTCAAATTTTTTTTTTTTTGGGGTGAAGAATTAATATATTCCAAGTATAAGATAAGAGTATTCCAATATTAGATTACGACATCTTGTACGAAGAATGTGAAAGTCTTTTCCTCGAACATTTTCTGGTGCAGTGGCAGACAAGAACTTACCAGAGAGTTGTCAAGAAGACAGTGGCACCTTCAATCATCTACCCTTCAAGTCTTCAACAAATATACATAAGATTACCTGAGAATATAAGTCTTAAACATCCATAATTGGATACTACTTCTGTATATAAGCTTTTGTGCTCTAAGAATAAGTTTCTTTTTCTGGTTCAAATCAAAAGCAGAAAGTTCATATTGGACAAGAATTTCTTCATCCCAGCGACATGAAAAAAAAAAGTCTGGGTTTACTTCAAAGACAATAAGTTTCACATAGTTTCCGTAAGTAATAGCATCATAAAGTTGGAATTTACATTAATCTGTTCATACTAGTTCAATCAAGTCAATCCGGATATTTCTGTTTTTTCTTATGTAGATTGGACAGGAGATGTGAAGGATAGAAGATTCAATTTCCGATATTGTTCCTATCTTTTGGGAACTTAATTATATGAAGAAGCAAAAAACAACCTGGTTCTACAAGTAGCGCTGAAGTTGAATTTAAAACATTAGCAACGGAAATTTGTGAAGGTAAGTGGATAAAGAGATTCTCTGGGAAATTGGGTATGATCACTGAGACATCTATCAACCTATATTGTGACAACTAGATTACCTTTATCGTAGCAAAGAATCATGTGCATCATGATCGGACAAAACACACAAAAATTGGTAGCCACTTTATTTCAGAGGAAATTGAAAATTCAATTATTCAAGTGATCTACAAGCCAACAAAATCATAGACTGCTAAGAGCCTCACTGAAGTCCTTCCAAGAACCATCTTTGAATAACTCTAAGCAAACTGTGGTTTTTCAGTATTTACAACCCAACTTGAGGGGGAGCATAGGATTCGAGATAGGAAAGTGATAATGATGTGTGATTCCACATAATCCTGGACTTGGTTGACTCTTATATAATGACCCTCCAAAATTTCCTCCTAAATTCTATCATTATCTTAACAAATTAAGGATATAAAGTTAGAGTTTCTTGGTGTAATCTTTCTCTTATATGTTGCTTCAGCATAATACAATAGAATGTTTTGAGAAATAATCTTAGAAAATTACAACATAAGATTACTGTAAAACATTAAGTATTCCTAAGATCCAAGATGTACATCCTAATAAGTTGGTTTATGAAAGTAGCTGACAGAGAATTATCTGATTCTAACTCAAGAATAAGTTCAGATAATTGGCATAAGCATGGCTCAAATTTGGACAGTTCCTAAGACAGGCACACAGGTCTCTTGGCCTAGCCAAATAATTATTTAGCTTCCACAGTTACCAACATAAAATTTCAGACTAGAAGAACAGCTTCCTTGGTTATTATATACATAAATTCAGACATGTACAACAGTCAAATTAAAATGGTTCACAAGCCTTCATTCGAAAGTTTACTTCCATACTTACCGAGGCATGTAACAGCAATGAAATGTTTCTCAAGATTTGCCTTCCAAACTTTACTTCAATTGTTATCTTAAATACAGGTTCAGACCTGAAAAAAAAAAACAGTTAAATGAGATGCTTCACAAGCCCTAGACTCATTTTAAACCGAGCAATTAGCTCCTGTAGGAAAAGTAATACCTTTTGAAGATTCAGATATATGTTAACTTTCAGTTCCACCAGGGCTTGCCCAGACTTCAAATCAGCAATAAAATCTAACTGGAACGAGAAAAGAATAAGTTAATTCTCAATATCGACACTGATTTTCCAGTTAAGTGAAACTGCCTGGAGGATAATAAGCTCTGAAGTCATGAAGCAATCATCTCTTTCTATGATCTTTCGAACTTCTTAACTCATTAATTAGTGACTTATATGAAGCAAAATCAGAGACAAGGCCTTTCTCGGCTCTTAATTTATTAACTTCTACCGAGTTTGCGTTCTTGCAATGGCCTTCTAATAGGATGTTGTACGTAATGTCATCAGGAACCACCCCTAAATTGAGCATAGCATCTAACAGCATGTCAGCATTTTTCATCTGCCCCTTCTTGCAAAGCCCATTCAAGAGCACGTTATAGGTTACAACCCCGGGTGTATGCTGATCATTCTGCATCTCCTTAAGCAACTTGAAACCGATATCAACATTACCCTTCTTACAAAAACCATCAATGACCATTGTATATGTGGCATCATCTGGTTTTATGCCAGCATCCAACATCTCCCTCAGTGTTCTTTCTGCATAAGTAACTCTCCCCTCTTTACACAGACCTGCAATAAGGGCTGTAAAAGCCACATTATCGAGCTCGATCCCTTTCTCAACCATTTCTTTCCTCAATTCTAAAGCCGATTCTAAATCCCCTTCTTTACAAAATCCATCTATCAGGGTAGTGTACGTGATCTTGTCAGGTTTTAGACCCTCTGAAGTCATCTCATTAACAATCTTCTTTGCTTCGACCAAATCCCCAGCCTTGCTAAGGCCATTGATGAGAGTATTATACATAACCAAATCCGGTTTCAGGCCTTTCTTCAACATTTGCTGATAAACTTCCATCGCTAGATCTATTCTCCCATTCTTGCAATGCCCATCAATCAAAATATTGAAAGTAACAAAATTTGGAATCAATCCTCTCTCGCACATTTCATCAAACAAAACATTTGCATCATCCATTCTTCTCTCTTTACACAATCCATTAATCAAAACACTGAAGGTAAAAACATCAGGTTTCACTTTAATTTCTTCCTCCATAATCCTCTTCAACCTAAACCCCTCCTCTAAATTCCCTGCCTTACAGTACCCGTTAATTAAAGTATTGAAGCTAACGACTGTAGGCCGCAACCTCCTCTTCCCCATTTCATCAAACACCATTTGGGCATCCTTCAATTTCCCTTCTTTACAAAATTTATGCATCAAAACGTTAAAATTATACACACTTGGTAAATACCCAGAATCCAAAACCTCCTTATAAAACCCCCAAACAGCTATGGGTGGATTCACTTTCGTCGTCTTATTAAGCAAATATCCAAAACCATGAACCGGGAGCTTGAAATTATGCTTCCTAATCAACCTAAAACACTGAATAGCATCGGAAACAAATCCCATATCGGTATACGCAATCATTAATGCATCAAACACGAAATTACATTGATGGGTACCTCTCGTCTCGATCACCGCAGCGAAAATTGAAGAAGCCGAGTCCTTACCCTTGCGAGAGACGAGGAACTTGATGAGAGACTGCGCTTGGGGAAGCATTTGGTGAGAAACGAGGAAATGAGCCATGGTGCAATACGAGTGGACGGTGAGGCGGAAGGTGGGCTGTGATGAGAGGAAGTTGAAGAAGGAAAGGAGAGAGGTAGCCGGAAGAGAGTCAGGATTGCGGTTGATGAGGTCGGTAACGTGATTTACTGTAAGGGAAGGGAGGAGTCGCTTGATGAAGGAGTGTAGATTGTTTGGTTGAGGGTTTTTGAGAGCCTGAGAGATGTTGGCGAGCATGGGATCATCTTGTTGGTGGAGAAGCGATGGCGGAGAGTACCATGTGGAGTAGTAGAAGAAGAATGAATCAAAACCCAATTGATGACAAAGGAAGAGAGATGTTCCTCTTACGTCTCTGACTGTGAGCATGTCGTCGTCTTCGTCGGTAGTCTGATCAGGTGCTTCTCAGTTGCGTTCCTCGATCACATTCATAGTCATAAGAAAACGGTGTCCCACTATTTTATTTTTCCTTTAGTAAAAGAAAAAAAATCAAACAAGGTCGTTGTAGTATAGTGGTGAGTATTCCCGCCTGTCACGCGGGTGACCCGGGTTCGATCCCCGGCAACGGCGTTTTTATTTATTTTTTGTCTTTTTGGGTAATCATTCGAAAAAGGATTTGAGTATTAATTAATTGATTAATTTCACGTTAATCAGAGATTATTAAAACCGAATCCGAATGAAATACTAATTATCCACTTAATCCCCACTATAAATATTTCCCAATCCCCCACTACTTCTCATAATTTCTGCTCTTCAAAAAATTTGCTTATATTTTTTTGAAGTCTTACGAGGAAAACAATTTGATAAAACCAATGGCGCCTGGAATTAACCAAAAGCTAAGCAGGTTAATTACAAGATTAATAACGATCATCATGCAGCGATTCTCAACTGAATACGTCGTCGTTTACGTGGGTGAGGAGAAACAAAGAACTCGTTACTTAATCCCCATTACACGCTTGTCTACTCCCATGTTTAAAGCTCTGTTTAACCAGTTCAAAGACCCACAGCTCGGCATCATCGACTCCGATGGACTCATCACGCTGCCGTGTTCTTCGCAGATGTTCGAATGGGTGGCCGCCTGCGCTGCTCCATCTCAGCCCACAATCATAAAACTCGCTTCATCTCGTCTCGTTGTGTATACTTCGTAAAAATTTATATGATAGACGTCTTTTAAGTTTTTACTTTATTATATATCATATAACTCGAACTAATGTTGTCATACAAATAGTTTCTTGTTTCTTATATATTTTGTTTTACGAAGAATGATGTAAATAGTAATAATACAAATAAATAAATGACGGGATGTATGTTATATAGTTTTGTACATATTACTAATTGATTTTTTAAGTAATGAAATTATTTCGTGTAATTAACATATGCTTACATAATTTAAAATAAAATTTGATTTAACCATTAATACAACATATAAAATAATTTTTTAAATTATTAATAGTAATAAAAACTAAATCAACACATACCCATTATATAAATTAAGCAATTTTTGTGACAACAATATGATATTATATATATATATATAGATTTTAATATTTTCTAGTGAAAAGTTATAATCAAGAAAATGTTATGACATTAAGAGCCCACGAAACTTCATAGTCAATAATTAAGTCTTGAATTGGTTTTAATCAAATAGATTTAACATGTTAACCAAAATCTTTAATTGCATTTATAGATATTCTTTTCTATTTTTTGATTAAATATGATTGCTAATCGTAATTAATGATAAGTTTAGCTTAATTCTATTTTAATCTCATTAATTCTCCATGTTCTGCTTAATTTCTTAATTTATGGATTTGATTTTATTAATCAACCACCAAATTTTTTTTTTCTTGCAATTTCTTATTTGAGAAAAAGTTTAATTAATTTTTGAAGGAATCGAGTTTTGGATTAGTCTTTTTCTCTTTTTGGGTTATTATTTGTTTTTTTAGTAATTAATATATGTTTTAATTTTATCAAAAAATGACTAACTAATTAATATCATAACAACAATTAATGTAACTTGCCGTAGTAATGTGAGAAGAGTATCTTATGAAAAATTATATTACCTTACAAATTTTATTAAGAAATTTATACGTATGTAAATTGTTCAAATAATTTTAAATTATTTCAATCGGATTTAAATAGATAATGATAATGAGATCCATGTTGGATTTTAATCAATCTCGTAAGTTTTATTGTGCATAAAAAACTATCAATTTGATTGGACCC